ACCATCAAGCAGTGTCAAGGAGAAGATCAAGACCGACTGACTCAAGGCAAAGATAAGATGAATGGGGGAAGAATGAGAACTCATAATAGTCTCGGGGACTACATATGGAGGAGAGCATGGCCAACACCAATTAAGAGTCCTCACTCAACCCTCTGAACTTTGTTGTGCGTCGTTTGGGCTTCTTGCCATGTCTCCGTACTCTCTGAGGTTGTGGCTTCTGAATGTACAGTCACCTGAAGCCCACTAATTCCAAACACTTCCAACCAAGTCCCATGATACGGAAGTCAAGCATGGCACGAAATTCCTCCCATAGTATGGGGAGATAGGGCTGAGAGAAAATACCCCTCCTGAGATGCGGAAACTCAGAGGGCTCGGTCACCGCCTCATAATCAATCACTGTCGGCGATCTGTATCTCTTAGCCAAGTCCACCAGTCCACCCCAATAAGAGCGGTCAGTAAGATAGTATGGGACCGGCCGTCTGGGATAGTCAGTGAAAAGCTTAGGACCAAAGCTATAAACCGGCTTTGTATTACCCTCAAGCCTTTCAGCTTTCCACTGCACATACCCAGTTGCTGCTGCCCATACCGCGTCAAAATGAGGGTGTGTCTCGTTCCCCTTCTTCAGGAAAATCCGTAGGTCGCTGATTGTACCTTCAGCGAACTCAGTGAGAGCGATGAAGATAGACAGTTCCTCGCGCCTGAACCCATCAATCCTAACGTACTTGTAGGGGAAACTCACCTTGGCGGCAATCTGGTTGAGGCTGTCAAGGATCGACTGATCAACTGAAATGGGGTTAATCTCTCTCATGTGGTTGGATAAATAGTCACTCCCTGATAGAGGGAAATGATTGTGCTTGATCTACAGACGTCCTTTGCTTGAGTGCTTCTTGGATACTGTTCTGGATGCTGCTCGGAATGTTGCTTTCCAAGTGCTGTCTCTGATAACTATTTTATCATTGTTGTTTCCGGTTGCTGTTCTGATTGCTGTTCTAACTGTTGATTTCTGGTTTTCTGGGTCTAAGTGATATGTCTCAATGTAAATTGACTGCCGAGAAATGCCAACAGAACGCTGATACGAACGTTGTTCCTGGTGTTGCTCTGAATGTTAGCTTGAATGCGGCTCAGAGTGCTGACCTGAGTACCGACTAAACGTTGATTGTTTACAGATTGATTGCCGATTGGTTGCTGATTCGATTGTCGTTTGTCCGCTGCTTGGTTTCCGATTGACTGCTGCTACCGAGATTGTCGCTTTGAAGTGTTGTTTTTACCTGCTGGCTGGTTGCTCAATGTCGATTAAATAGATGACCGAATAATGATTAATATAATGGTTAAATAGTGACTGATTGGCAGCTGAATGCTGTTCTGAACACTGTCCAGAGCACGATCCTGAATACAGCTTGGAGTACTGAATGTTGTTCCGGGTACTGTTCTAAGTACAACCTCGAGTACGGTTCTGAGTATGTCCGAACGCCTTCGGAATACTGTCCCGAATACTTTTCTCAAAAGTTGCGTTTGAAAAACCGTTTTTTTATTGTCATTCCTAGTTGCTGTTTTGATCACTGTTCTGAATTCTGTGTCTAAATATTGTTTCCGACTTGAACTCTAATCATCTGAGTCTGATTCTGGTTGTCTGAGTCTAGTTTTCAATTGCCTGAGCCTGGACTAGACACCGGCTAATTGCTAGTCAGATCATGACCTCGAAATGCTGGTCTTTCTTAAGCTCAAAAGGTTGAGAGAACTGCAGATCTTAGTATGAATAGTAGTACCTGAGCTTTGGCTGGTCTCTGGACAAAGAATCTGGATCATTTCAATCAATTGGATCTTGAATTATTGTCTGACATCTGATTGACACTTAAACAAAAACTTTGACTCTTGAGCGCCTGGGTGTCTAATCGAACAGTGCTCGGACACTAATTGAGCATTTCGCTGGATGGCTGGTTCTCAGAGTTACCACATGCCCCAGCCTCGCCAGAACACCCTCGGCTAAAAGTGACATTATGTTGTCTGTAACCCTTCCCTCTTCTTACCCTTACCGTTGGTGGCTAGTAAGCTCTCGAGCCCGATCCACCACTTCTACTGATGAGAAGGTGCTGTGCAACCGGCCATCAGACCCGTAAAAATAGACAGTATATGCCGCAAGCTTCTGATCTTTCACTATTTCGCGCATCCTTCTTCTCATCAGTCCCAAGATGTTCGGGATTCTCTCAACTGCCTTTTCTCCCCAGTCACCCCTCTTGTCCAGGTGGAGGGCGTAGGCCATCCTCAAACTATCTCCGTCCCCCATGATCATCTCTCCATTCCTGTTTCGTCGTTAGACTCTTAGCCTGATCTAATAAAGCAGGGGGAAACTTGGTTCCGCCTGCTCTATTACCCTCAGGGGTACGATTGGGCATTTCGTTTTACTGCACTTTCTTATTACAAGATCAACACTGAGACAAAGTCCTTACTACGAGGTGACTATTGACTGTCTTCAGTCTTGCTGGCAGATCCGTTTGTTGCTAGTATCTCAATGACATGCTTTATGGTCGATTGCGACGTATCTCCTGCGAGGGCTGTTCCCCCTAATCCGTTTTTACCTGAGATCTGTACATGTCATGTGAGGTCAGTGGCTGAAAACCCCCTTTTTCTGATCACCTGGAACGACCCGCCATACCTAGTCAGTAGGATCTGCAAGAGAGACAGTATTGTACAGTCCCCCATCCGATCCATAGGTACAAAAGGGTGTTCTTAACGAGGTTTAAGTTACCCTTAGTATGCTCTCTCCCTCTCCCCTTTGCATGTCCTTGCCACTCAGACTCAATACTCATAATCGTTTTCCATTCTGCAAAGGGTTACTGGAGCGGGTATGTCGACAAACCGGTTTACAATGGACTTACACAATTACATCCTAGAGATAATTTTGTCCAGAGGGTCACACGATCCTGCTGACTCAATCCGTCTTGAACTCAAACGTCTTGTTAAATCGACGGGTTTGTACAGAGTCCCCTGCACGGTAATTACAATTCTTGCTCAGTTAATGCCTAAATAAAATACTAAATGCGGTCCTCACTGGGTTAGTGACTGTGCAACCTTGGCATCAAGTACAACTCACCCCAAACTGAATGTCCCTAACAATGATCTGGTTGTTGCATTGACTGAGTAGTTCTGACTTCATTACTCAAAACCCAAGCTACCTGGTGGTCTGTCTGGACCACTTAGCACTACAAGTGAACTCTGGCGACCGGTCCCCTGGGCATGTATTGTAGTCTGACGAGACAGAGATGCATAAAAGGGGGACTCACTGATTCTGCTTTTGTGGTAATTCCCTCCTCCCTTGATCAGTTGCAACAGACTAAAGCAATAAGATAAAGGTTAATCAATCACCATCAAGTAAAAACTTGGCGAGAATATAGTAGATTTTTTTCAGCGCTGACTTTCCTTTTCCCATTTACTCAGAGAAGGTAAAACCCTGAAAACATGGCCTGAGATTCACTCCCGCATTTCCATCGGCAGAATAAGCCCGTCCAACGAGCTTTGAAATATGCCTGTACTATTCGATCAAATGCCTTCTTGTAGTCACCGAGTCAGCAAGTACATTCAATCGGGCATTTGTCTACATACACGCATACAGACATTTGTAGGCTTATGCAGTCACACGCTCGAATTATTTCAGAACACAAGCGAATTCGTATCACTGTTGGTAACCATTCGATAGGGTGGGCACATTCAAGCCTACACCCTACGCTCCCACACACTCTTGCAATCACATGATGCAGTCACATGATACAATCACGCGATGCGATCACTCGATGCAATCACGCGATGCAACCACATGATATAATCACGCGATGCGATCACTCGATGCAATCACGCAATGCAGCTACATGATACAATCATGCGATGCGATCACTCGATGCAATCACGCGATGCAATCACGCGATGCAGCTACATGATACAATCATGCGATGCGATCACTCGATGCAATCACGCGATGCAACCACATGATAAAAATACTCGATGCGATCGCTCGATGCAATCAGGCTATGCAGCCACACGGTGCAGTCACGCAGTGCAATCAACACAGTGTGATCTCACATAGAACGAAAACGGAAAAAGGAAAAGAAAAACCCAAGTCCCAATTATATTTGTGATCACCGTCTTTGTGGAATTTCAGCACGCGAATGCAGAGGTTGCATATCTCTTTGACCTTGCCAAGTGATCAAGTAAACCACTCATCGCTGGGAAATACACCCGACGGACAAGAGTCAACACCAAGATTATCCTTATCGCTTCAACCTTGAAAATGTTTTTAATCTAGTAGCCCATACGTTGGATTTCCTTCACAACCAACCCGTTTCAAATCGTTATTATGAGTCAGGGGCTTTCCCCTGTCCTCCTACTCACTCAGTTTACTGCGGCCTTATCCCTTGTGAAGACGTGACATGATCAGTTAACAACGATCAATCGTTCTAGTTAACCGAAGCAGCAACAATAAAAAGAAAAAGAAGAAATTAAAGATAATAAGAACAAAAGAAATCATCTTGCGATGACCATCACCCTTTTCTGAGGGTTCGGCCTGAGCAGTTACAAAGAAGCGCATCAATGGCTTTGATAGCAGTACCCGTCACGAGCCGAAAGTCACTCGAGTAGCGAGACAGATAGCCTTCAGAGAGAGCGCAACAGTCGGTAAGTAAAAACACCTTCGAAGGAAAACAAGACTCTCCCTGCCGTTAGTTCTTGTCCGAGCAGGTCCTGCATGCACCATTTCGAGAGAGAGAGAGAGAGAGAGAGAGAGAGAGAGAGAGAGAGCGTCCACGCCCACTTTATAATCAACAATAGGAACGGAATCACGCGCGCCTCAACCCTGCGCGCCCACACACTCTCCACTTCTAGACCTCATAGCCAACCTACAGTCCCCACACTGCTGCAAGTCGCGCGGCCTTCTCAACAATTCTGGGTCAAACTTGTTTTCTGATACTTGCAAAAACCACGGCGGATACCTTTGTAAGGGTATTCGCGCCGACACCGGGCACGGACTTTAGCACCCAGAGGAGGGTCGGGATACCGCGCCCTCCGACAACGTGTACCTCCTCGTCGTGGCACTGCACATATGAAAAACCCACACGACAACCCCAATTAAATTAGTCGATCGTATTTTCATCTATATACAAATGTCACTATAAGATCAAAAAAAAAAAAAAAAAAAAAAAACTTATTTATTTAACACTTCATTTTGAACTCGAATGAATGAAAACGAATTTTTACCTATTTGTTGTTCTTCTGCTCTAGCACTTGTTTTTTCGAGTTGCCACCTCGATGAGATGTGATCGTCTTCTTTTGCATCTTCGTCCGACTAAGGTTCACTTTCTTGTTTTCTCTCATCGTACTCGTCGTCCATTTCCGCATCCTCGCATTCTTTCTAGTCCTTCCTATTTTCCATTTCATGACGTTCCCATGATGAATCTCCATGATATTTGCTGCTTCTATTTCGTTCTTCGTTATATGAGTCTTCCTTATGTCTTTCCCGCCAATTTGTCTCGCCAATCTTATGATACTCGTCATCTCCGCTTGCATCACTATCATCATTGCCTTGTCTTCTTGACCTGCAAGACATTTCTCGATACTGTGGTTCGTGCCTTCAGTCCGATGCGCGTATCCCACGTTTTGCAGGAGCACGTGGGACATTGCCACTTCTCATATCTTCACAAAAAGTTTTCCTTGTTGACGTTTGCAATAGGGATTCCTCTTTATCCCGTACAATATTGATCTTCATTGTGTGATCTTTCGTATCCATGTCGAATATACTCTTACTAGCTTCTCGATGCATGTCAATCATGTTTTTGTAACATGATTCACCCTGCGCAGTTCGTGTTCTCTCACCGTCTTTACGATACCAACTATCCCGTTTTTCTCCAGACATGTCATCGACGATGTGCGTTTCTCCTCCTTGGCGAGATTTTCAAACGTTCATATCACGTCGTCGCCCCTCGTCATGCAAGGTATGACCTCGTACACGGTGTGATGCCTCTGATCGATCTCTACACCTTTGCTTGTTGTCGTCTTGTTCATCCATACGTTTTCCCCTCAGCATATTCAATGCTAACTGTTTTACCTTGCTGCTCCGGTTTCTAGTCGGAATGTTTTGCTCTGTATACCAAAGGCAAAATTGAAACAGACATATTACATAAGTTAATAAATACTCTACATGTCAAACAGTATATATGTTTTGCCTTTCGAATTGTTTATTATGCAAAACAAACATTGCAACTGATAAAATCACTTTCAATTACTTTATTTTTTTTATTTGCATACTTAATAAAATACCCCTCTATTTTATACATTACAAATTTTTTTAATTGTTTAAAACACATAATTTTTTTATAACGCTCTATTTTTTAATTGTTGCACAGATGTTGTCTTACCTTCCTTCAGCACGTTCTTAGTTTGCCGTTGTTTTCCGTCGTCTTGTAATGTGTTTCTTGAAGATTGCTACAAATTCTTCAAGCGTATGCGATGTCGGCAACTTCATATAAATATCTGTCACCGCCCTTATCGTAATAATCCGATGTTCATGAGGTTTTCTGTCTTTGAGACGTGCACACGCTTTTTCTACCTCCTCCTTCGTTTTGAACACATTCGTGCTCTCTGCAATGGTCTCGAGCAAACTCTCAACATTTTTGCACATCATGAAGCCACAATCATTGTTATTGTGTTGTTCTTGACACCTGACGCCTTTTATGATGCTTTCCCCACCCACGAATTGTTCCCATGTCCACGCGAGACGCTGTGGTGTAATGTCAATATCTTGTGCGAACATGGTTGTCGTGTGTTCGTAGAACAGATGCACCAATAATGGTTCAAACGCTGGCATCCCGAAACTGTTCTTTGAGTCGATGTGGAAGATCGCGCATGAGTCCGTCCTTGAAAGATCCGGGTTCTTCAACACTACACCAACGTCGACAAATATGAGAACTGTATAATGATGTGCATGCAAAATTGGCACTATGACGATTTCCTTATCCCACACCGATGTCATTCCCTTCCTTCTCTTTCTACACACGTCCTTCACAACTTCGACATCGGGAGGACAGTTCCCATCAACATCTTTGTGAGTCTTGTATATCTTACTGTACCACAACACGAAAGTCACCTCCACGTGAGTCATATTTTTGTTTTTTTTTATAACCGGCTCGTACACATATTGATTATAAACTTCAACGATATTTGTTGTCATCCACCCCGCCGATCCCAGTGACTCAACATCATCCATCCTGATCACAAAAGACTCTGTATGGGAGGGACGCCAATTGAAAGGAAAATACTCAGCAACGGTGCTCAGAGACAAAGGTGGTAGTGTCCTCTTCTCAACTCTGAAATATTCATCCTCATGAAGATGTGAAACCATTTGCGAGTTTTTGTCCCTATCACAACTTGACGGCAATGAAACTTTTTCATCACTGAGTGAAATTACATTTATCAATGATCTCGATTTCATATCTCCAGTGAGTCCACTTGTCTCCTCTTGCATCGCTTTCTCGTCATTTACGATATTTACACCACTTGACTTTAACATGTTCACCTTCTTCACTTTCGTCTTCACTGCTTCGTTATTCTCCGTTCTCATAACGTCCATACTGTCATTAACTTCGTCTTTCACCTTGAAGTTCTCCGATATGTCATCAATGGTGTTGCTCGACAACTTCCTCACCTTCCCGATTGAACGTTGTGGATGATGACCGATGTTGCCTCCTCCTTCGTTCTGAAATGTCATTGTGTCCTTACCGACATCACATGTAGTGTCGAAAGGAGCAACACCTGTTATGATTTTTGCACACACTTGATTCTTGTCCCTTGTCCCATCGTCTCTTTCTTGATTCTCATCATCCATAGCAACAATGTCTAAATATGTCGAGTCTTTACTCTTCGTGTCGCACATCCCGGACACACTCCCAATAATCTCACGCATACACTCTCCGAACGTACTTGGAATCGGTGTCGGCGACAATAATTTCCAAGCATCTATAGATAAACTCAACATAGGACGATGATAGATTTGTTTTACCTCTTCTTCTGATAACATTTGCTCCTCAATTGTTGATGTTGTCTTCAAGTTTATCGGCTGTGTATAGCGAATACTTTTCAAATTCCCTCGCCCTCCTCTTCTTGATGTCTCTCCACTTACCTTTTTTGTCTGCTCTTCCTTTGTTTGAATTGGGTTTCCTCGTTTCACATGCTCATTAAGTTGGTGTCCCCTTCCACCGCCTCGAGGTTTTTTCTGTTCTTGATGAATCTCATTTGTACTTATACCACGATGTGCTTCACCCTTTCGTTGTTTTTCATTTTCGTTCTCGTCCTTGTCTTAACCTTTTGGAAACGAATTCATTGTCTAGTCTTGCCCAACGTCTTATATCCTCTATATCGCCAGAGACTCGTTTACACACATCTGAAAACACGCAAATAAAAAAGTTTTATCATTGAACAACTCAAAGAGAAAGAATATGACACAAATAGTCATATAACATTTACGAATCTGTTTACAAAAAAGTTGAAAAACACTTCATCTTCAAAATTCGCACGTTCGACATCATGCCGAAATGAGGGTCTCAAGAAATATGGAACCAGGTGTACTGGTTCAATAATCGTATTGATGTCGATGACGTTGCAATGTTGCACACCTCTAATTCTCTCTCGTTGCACCAACTGACATGAAGTACGATTCGTGAAGTTCATGACACATTCTTTGTACCAATGCACAAATGCACATGAATGCGTCATTGTTTCATTATTTCTACAGCATTGCAGACCAAAAAATATGGCCACAAATGCTAACCATACTTCGTCATTTCCTGCTCTCACACTCACATCTGATCGCACCTCTCGACCATGAAAAACAGATGTCGCCTTTGCTACTTGAACATCAATTCCTTGAATATATCCGTCGTAAGTACAAGCACATGCAACATGTGTTCTTGGACGAATGATTGTGCTATCGTTGATTTCTTCAAACCCCTGTTCGGCAATGTACGTACCTAAACATTGATAAAATCGTTGTCTTTCAGGAAGGTGAAAAAAAAACTTTGATGCTTCAGTGTCAGATGATGCAAGTTGTTCCTTTATGATTTAATCAGTAATTCTGAACCACCTCAATTGCAATCGCCCTATATCAGTAGAAGATAACACATTTCGTTCTGTCTTCTCCGCCTCTAACACCGACGACCAATTTTTGCCTTCTCTGTGATGTCTCACCCTCACTTTTGTCACGTGTTGTTCTAGTGTTGTTGCACACATTATGTGCTTCACCATTTGCCGCAAAGGGTTTCGGCGATTCGAAGCATGATAAGGATCTTTGCAAAGACGAATGTGGTTGTGTTCTCAAATATCTGCATCAAATGTTTTTGGCAGCCTGACCGCAACACTGCTGCTTTGAACTTGTTCATGTCATGCATTTTCATTATCTTCCAATTTGACTTATGTAAATGGTTGAATTGAAGATTTGTGAAATCCATAAATTCTTTTAGAAGGTTTTCACACCTGTTAACCGATTGTGTCGTATGTTTCGTCACTCGAAACATACTCATGAAATACTCCAGAAACATATCAAACCATTTGATAAGGTCGCGTCCCTCAGTGTTGTCAATATAATTATGAACAATAAACAATATAACCGACATGACAACTCGATATTGTTTTGTTTTGAATCGACCTTCGCGAGTAAAGAAATCTGTTCCTGAGGCGACGGGTAGCATTAACTTTTGGAACGAACGACGGGCTCTAAGGCTCATTTGCTTGAGACGAGCATTTAACTCACCTAGCATTGCGGATGCACGGTCGAATGACTTGCAAAGCATTTTTACACCTTCGATCATATCCCATGATCTATTACGTGCATTCGAGCCGGTTGTAGCGCATAGTGGTAAAAAAACATCAAATCGTTGTTGGAAGCACCTTGATAAAACCCCCAAAGGCCATTAAAAGGAATATCATAGTGCATTCCGCATCCTTGGCGAAACCTAACGCTTCA